GCATGATCGTGGATTTCTGTCTGTCGCCAAAGTTCTTCAAACCAGAACAGCCAATATCTCTTGACTTCTTAATTTGGTCCTGATGTATTAACAAGTTCTGAAACTCCCAAATTACTTGTATTGACTAATGTCTTAGATGAGTTTAAATCTTTGGCTGATTTCCATAGACAGTTGAAAATTACTTCTAAAATTACTACTAATGTTGTTAATCTTGCAAGAGGGTTGAAAGGAAGAGTTGGATTGCCATGTTTTAACAAATCAACCTTCTTGCTTTTTAAAAAAATTTTAAATACGTCTTTTATGGTCTTCACATGAACAGTGTCATCTGAAAAAAGATTTTTTTTCATTATGTAAATCAGGAGATATTGAAGAAAGATTGAGTGTCAGTATTTTCATGTTACAAGTAAAATGTATTTGAAGGGATGTTGACATAAATAATTTGGTTCTGCTCTGTGATTGTCACATTTTGGTTTAATATCCATGTTATTATTAATAGAATTTTAAGAATTCTATTTTGAGTTTTGAGCGGGATAGAATCAAGATCATGCGAAGTTATCATGCTTTACAAAGCCCTATTAAGACCACACCTGGAATACTGCATCCTGTTCTGGTCACCTCAATACAAAAAAAGATGTTGAGACTCTGGAAAGAGTGCAGAGAAGAGCGACAAGAATGATTGAGGGTGGGGTGGGGGCTGAAGAATAGTTTCAGGAACTGTCTAATCTAGAGAAAAGAAGAATTACGGGACACGTGATAGCAATCTTCCAATATTTGATGGGCTCCTACGAAGTTGAGGGATCAAGCTGTTTTCCAAAGCACCAAAAAGGCAAGACAGAAAACAATGATGGAAACCACCCAAGGAAAAAAAGCAACCTACTAAGAAGAACTCTCTTAACTGTGAGAGCAATCAACCAATGGAACAGCTTGCCTTCAGAAGTTGTGGGGGCTCCATCGCTGGAGGCTTTCAGAAAGAGACTGGACAACCGTTTGTCTGAAATGGTAATGCTCAAGCAAAGGGTTGCTCTAGAAGACCTCCAAGATCCTGTCCAACTCTACTATTCTATGTTCCAAGAGAAGAGAAATAAGGACGTGATGCTGAGTAACATGCCCCCAAATTGGAATGCATCAATTTATGAAGAATTTTTGCGGCAAATGGAATTTGGATTGTAGGTGACAATTTTGCCATTGGGTGCGGGGGGGACTCCAGTCTTAAAATTTTGGACTAAAGAAATGTGTTCACTCTCAGCTTTATATTGGCTCTTGATTAATGTATTGGGGAAAAAAGAACTTTACTTCTCTTGAACTACACATTTTAATTCTTTTTTTTTTAAATTACTGGTTTTTAAGAGTTGCCTTAACTTAGAAATTAAATAAATCATGTCCAACTAAACCTATCTAGGTATGCTAGGCTTCAGTTTCCTGCATTTTTAGCTGGGCAAGACTGAGGTAGATCAACAACCATTAACCATGGCAGAGAAATTATCAAGCTTCAAGAGGCCAATTTCAGAAGAAGCCTGAAGGTCAGTTACGAAAAGGGGGAAATGTTCTTAGATGGACCTTCCATTCGATCTAGCAGGAGAGCTTTTATATCCTTCAGAGAATCAATATAAAAACGATTTGGACCTGGTTGACTAGCTAATCTATCAAGCTGTAGAAGAAGACCAGGCTGAACTGGAAGGTGAGATTAAATGTGTCACCACTTCGGAGTCATTGCATTGCCACAAGACACTTAAGTCCAGCCACCCTTGAATTCCCTTGACCCTTATCTAGCACCAGTTTAGCCTTGACCATTAGTTGATTATATTCTTGTACATAGGGGTCATGGTCTCATCAGATTCTGGTTTGGAGGAGGAATTGGAACCAAGACCATATAACAGGGAAGGCACATCTCCCCTGAAGAGGCCAGGGGCTGAGGACAATGCTGTCTCAGGCCCCTCAGGCATTGGGGGAGGTGGTCAACTGGACAGGAGGATGCCGGCCCTCACAAACACGCGGGAGGGTTAGCAGTGGGGATGAGAGGCAGCAGATCAGTGGTGGTATTCTACCAGTTCAGCCCAGTTCTGGCATACCGGTAGCGCCGAAGATCAGCTGGCAGAGAACCAATTCACTCCCAAGTCCTTCCAAGGCTCTGCAGTTGGGCCCACCCACCTGCCGCTGCTCCTAGGACCTTTTTAACCTCTCAGCTGTTTGGCACGGCAGAGCGGGCTACTGTGCTAAACAGCTGAAGAGGCGCAATAGCTTAGTTTTTACTGTTTTAATGAGTGCGCAGAGCGCGTATTTCCCACAAGAGTGAGTCTCGCGCGAGTTGTGGGATCCCACCCCTGCAGCCATGCCCACCAAGCCACACCCACAGAACCGGTGGTGGGAACTTTTGAATCCAACCACTGCAGCAGACCGCCCTCTGATGAGGAACAGCTGCCCTCCCCCACCTCGATCCGAGGGCACGGAGAGTGAAACGGAGGGAGGCTCAAATCTGCTTGGGAGGAGGTCCCCCTGGCCATCCTCCCAAGGAGCACCTGCCTTGGGTTGACTTAAGCAAAGGCTGCGGGGAGGGCATGTTTGTTGAAAACAATCGTTTTGCTTTTTGGGGCCCGCATTTCTCCAGCCTTGGAAAAACCCCTGCTTTGACTCCTGTTTCTACCTGAGCCTTTGCCTCATGGACTTGCCTTGTGGACAACTCACGGACTTTGCCTTGTGAACTTTGCGGTGGAACTAATAGAACAATAAGGGACTCTATTGAAGCCTATCTTTGCCTATGGATCATATAATAGCAATAATAAATACTTAAGTGCTTTGAATTCAACAAGTGCTCCTGATTTTTTATATAGTAAATATGTGGATATTTATTGAGGTTAACATGTGCGATTTTTTTTTATCCCGTAAGCAAACTACATTCCAGTTCTTGATCTTTCCTTTGAGAAACAGGATGTCCCGAACTGAGTTGACATAAAGAACAGTAATGTCTGTCAGAAGTAGAATCCCTTCTCCTGTGCAGTTCATCTGTCGCTGTCTAGCACTCTGACACATTACAGTGCATTTTCTGGAGCGTGATACCTCCATGTTCTCCCCCCCTTTCACAATAATTTCAACTGAATCTAGGCCTCCCATAAAAGTCACACGTTTTCTGAGGCCCCCAAAAACCAGCGTAAATCCATTTTATGGTACAAGGCATGTTATGCTAAAACGTGGTGTCTTGTTGAATATAAGCATATTGTATAACGACCTTTCTGGCACAAAATGATTACCTCTGTGATCTGAAATAAAATAAGTGCACAATTGTTCTCTTCCATTCTTCGCTCCATTTGCTGCTCATGTCTGAGATGGAAGGAAGCCTCGGGCTTCCAGGAGTTTCATTCTTAGTCTGCTGGATGCTTAACTTAAGTGGTTTATAGTTGCATTGCTGGACCAGCTGTTCCTTTAAGATAAACTTTTATGGGAATTACACATCTGCGTAGGAAGAAAATCCACCGCATAAAGTGGTTGGACCTTTCTGAGCTGCCTGGTGGTATCTGGTGCCTTAGTAGTCTTTGAAAATTACTGTTGTGGTCATGAGAGACTAGAGTAAGGTTCCCCAACCCTTGGTCTCAGTGGTAGGTTTCAAAATAGTTTACCACCGATTCGGTGGGCGCGGCTTGGTGGGCGTGTTTTGCTCGCCCACACACGCTTTGTGTGTGTGCGTCAAACGCATGTTTTGCGCAGGCACAAAGGCTTTCCAACTCACCTCCTGCAATCCTGCACTCGCTTCAGCAGCTGACGCTCAGCAATCTGTTGTGCCGCACAAAGCAGCTGCACTCCAAAAGCAGGGAATAAAAGTCAGTATGGGAACCCGGGCAGGTGGGTGGGCCCAACAGCAGTTCTTCAGAGAGAACGGGTTCAGTCTCGGCTGATCTTCAGCACTACTGGTATGCCAGAATATCACCACTGCCTGATCTGTGAACTGGCACCAGGCTACGGCATGCCAGAAACGTGGCCACACAAGAAAGAGAAGCCGGGTGGAATTCTAACAGTTTGTCCCAATTCAGGTGAAGACCATCTGGGAGCGAACCAGTTTACTCCAATGATCAGCTGCTGTCCCTGCCTGCCCCGGCTCCATACTGACATTTATTGCCTGTTTTTGAAGCTCAGCTACATCGCGCCCTACAGCAGTTTGCTGAGCGTCAGCTGTTGAAGACACAAGGCGAGTGCAGGAGAAGGTCAGTAGGAAAGCCTTTGCGCATGTGCAAAGCATGCCCACCAAGTCATGCCCCACCGAACCGGCGGTAAAACAATTTGAATCCCATCACTGAGCGAAGCCCTCATCTGTGGGGTGCAGATAACTCCTTTTGGTCCATGGGAAAACCTCTCTCCATGGAACCAGTCCCTGGGTGCCTGGAGGCTAAAACATACAACGAACGGTTGCAGGAATTGGGCTTGGCTAGTCTAGTAAAGAGAAGGACCAGGGGAGACATAGTAGCGGCCTTCCAATATTTGAAGGACTGCCAGAGGAAGGAAGGGGTCAAGCTATTTTCTAAAGTGCCTGTAGGCCAGACAAGGAATAATGGATGGAAACTGACCAAGGAGAGATTTAACCTGGAAATAAGGAGAAATTTTCTGACAGTGAGAACAATCAACCAATGGAACAGAAGTTGCCCTCAGAAGTTGTAGGAACGCCATCACTTGAGACTTTCAAGAAGAGATTGGACTGCTATTTGTCAGAAATGGTGTAGGGTCTCCCGCTTGGGTGGGGGTTGGACTAGATGACCTACAAGCTCCCTTCCAACTCTGATTATCTGTATCTGTATCTGTCCAATAAACATGTTTTCTGAGGTACGTTCCTGCCTTGGAGTTCTGATTGGATGCGTTACTCGGAACACTTGACATCTGGTGTATCGTTTCTCCATAAAGTCTACACTGCCAATAACTGGCATGTTATGGGATTTTGGTCTTAAACCAGTTTTGCTCCTCTTCATTGCCTACTCCCTTGTGCAACCCTTTTGTAACTTTCCCATTGGTTCTGACAGGTGACCGAAGAGGAAGAATCAGCTAATCACACCGTGATGATTCAGGAAACTTTGCAACCGGCTTCAATGGAGTTGGGCGAGCAGCACCATTTGGTGGTCTCCTCAGATGACATGGAAGGCATTGGGACAGTGACCGTTTATACTCAGGGTGGAGAGGCCTCGGAACTGATTGTTTATGTGCAAGAAGCCCTGCAGCCGATGGAAGTGCAGGAAGAAGCTGGACAGGATATCTAAATCAAGTCTTCTGGGCAGGTAAGTAGGTAGGTAAGCCCCCTGGCCCTGGAGGATGAGTCTTCATTGGCATATTGCAAGTGTTCTGACCCAGCCTTAGCAGAAGCAAGAAACAGACTCCTTGTCACGAAAAACCCCTCTTTGTTTACCTCTTGGGAATTAATGGCATTCACACACTGAAAAGTCCAGGCAATAGTCCTTCAAAGAGTTAACGGCAGTAACCGACCTTATCAGTTCCTTACAATCATTGCAAAGCCGTGAACTCCCAGCCGAAAAGCTGCAAATTCTCTGAGCAAAATCTTCAGAAATACGAACCATTGTCTCCTATGACAAACACTCCCCTTTCCTTCTATTTATTTCCCAGCCAGGGAGGGGCCATTCAGTGTCCACATGTGCTTTGCTTCCCGAGTCGACTCCTTGTCCTCCATTGTTCCCCTCTCCTAACACTCCTGCACATACACGCATCTGGAACAGGCCCCAGCTGTTCTTCCTCCTCACTCATATCAGCCTCCAAAGGCAGTTGCCTCTCCGGTGGCTGGGAAATGTCGGATGGCCCTGGCTCTATCTCTGCGTCCGATGCAGAGCATCCATCAGAGCCTTGCCCAGACTCCAGAACTGGCCCAAATTCCTCCCCAACCATTGCAGCTGACTCTGCCGCCAGCTCTGCTAGCAGCTGGCAGACCACAACAGCAAGCCATTTGGGGAGAAACCCCTAAAGTTGGCATGGCAAGAGTTGGTACATTCCAACAACTCTGTGACTCTCTGCCTAACTAATTTTTCTCCACTGATAAAGTTACTTGGATGAGCAAAGAAACATCTCAGATTTACAAACTTTGGTCCAGTTGCCTTGATTCAACCTTTAGGCATCTCCTGACACTGCTCAGTTATTTCCCAGTTTGACAGCAAGCATAAATGGTACTTCCTGCAACTACTAAATCCATGGTGTGTTTCACTCCTGGTAGATGTGAGGGTGGGCAGTTGATTGGATTTCAGGTGGTCCTTGACTTACGACCACAATTGAGACCAGAATATCTTGTCAGGGCTCCAACAAATCCACCCTCATTCAAATCAAAAAAGTAAATTGGTTTATTAGAAATTGCCATGTTGGCGCATGGCTGGATGCAGCCAATACTAAATTACATCATACATTTCCCCCTTGACCCTGGTCTTTCCCCCACCCCCTGGATGTGACTTCTCCAATGGGACACATCCACCTCCAAGAGTCATCCATCATGTTCTCCAATAACCTTCTTGTGCTCCGACAACTTTGAGCTGCTGAGGTGATTATCTAGGCATTTCAAGAAGGCCTTGTTTTTCCCCACTCCCTTTTTCTGGCAGCTAAAAAGACCAAAGGAGTATCTTTTTAGTTGACATATCTATTGCCTAAGCATGATAATTTGTTAAGTGAGCCCTGCCTGATTATATGACCTCTTTTTGTCATAGTTGTTAAAGCGAATTCCTGCGGTTGTTAAGCAAATCACACGGCCGTTAAACAAATCCACCTTCTCCCATTGACTTTGTTGGAAGCCAGCTGGGAAGATTGCAAAATGGCAACCGCATGACCTCAGGACATGGCAACCATTGTAAATGCACGATGGCTGCCAAGCGCCTGAATTTTGATCATGTGACCATGGAGATGCTGCAGTAGACCTAAGTGTGAGGACCGGCTGCAAGTCACTTTTCCAGTGGCTGTTCAGAGTATCACAACATAAATTCAGCACCAGAAAAGTAAAGACAGGTGACCAAGGCTTCATTTAACTTCTTTATGAACATATAAAGTCATTTTTACAATACCAGTTGTAGTTTTTCTCCAACATGGAGCAAACTCAAACCGAAGCAGACATGTTACGAGTTCAGAGCAGAACAGCAACTCAGGAGCTCAGAAACAGACACCAGTTTCACTTTAGTTCATCAGGGAAGCAAGACACACAGCAGAGGAGAGAAACACTTTCATTTTCAATAGACAGACCCAGAGCTTAACATACCTTCAGAGCTGCAGAGCTTAATATAGAGCCACGCCTAGGCTACTTCTAGTTTCAGTTTCCAAACAGTCCCCATTGGCTGACTTAGTTGCTATGCCTATTCATTGGCTGACTTTGTTACCATGCTCTATTCCAGTTCATGAATATACTCTGACAGTAACTGAATGCTCACTAAACAAATGAACGTAAGTCGAGGACCTCCCCGATGGCTTTTCTCAGGAGACTTCTGTTACATGTATACTGAGCCATGATGCATTTCTTTCTCTTTTTTTAAATGCCTTTTTTTTCACGAATCCCCTTTCCTTTTCTCCCAAGGAACTCGAGAGATCACAGCCTCTTATTCCACCGATCCCAATACCTTCTTCAGGGATCAAATTAGCATCCTGAACAACATCTGTGCGAGGAGACTTCAGCCAAACCAACCAGGAGGAGTGATCATCTGGCAAAGCGCCACAGGGCTCGATAAAACTATCTGGGCGTGTTGTAGGCACCTTAAGAAGAGGGTAGTGTTTTTAAAAGACTCTTTTAATCACAGTTTGAAAAGCTTTTTGAGAATGCTAAAGGACAATCAGGCAAAAGAGAAAGGCCCAGGCAAGCTGCTTTTAAGGATAAAGCTCCATAGCTTATTTCTTCCCTTTGTTGGCTCCCTAGATTGCTTCTAGGAAGAAATTGGCCTTTTTTTTAATCTTCTAAAGGAGCTTTGCTTTGTGAGTTTTGAAAAAACCCAGAACGTGATTTGAGTTTTTGAAGACTCAAGAATGTTATCTTGAAGGAACTGGCTTCTCTTAGATCGTTCATCTTTTAATTTCTTCTCCTTCCAGTTTCTCGAGGATGCAAAACTGCCACCGTAGTTTTTCCCAGATGCCCTGGTTCCTATTAGAAAGGAAATATTTAATTGTCACCATGTATTTGAGGCACATAAATCGTAAATAATTTGAGAAGGCTGGGGAGGTTATAAGCATCCTTGAATTTTTATTTTTCTCCCTGTTCCTCTTTGCAAGATTACAACAGGGTTTTCAGAAGTATAACAAAATGTGTACTTTTTTTTTTCCCTGAGCTTGGCCACTCTATTTCTGATTGATGTTCAATACTGCTGGGTTATGTGTGCCTCATAATACATAATGAATGCAATTTTGAGCCATAGAGAAGTAATTTAGCATCAAGAAAGCTGTGAAAACCAGAGTGATAAAGTGGAATTTGGGTCCTGTTTCCTTGTCTGACAAATATTTGAGCATTTCCTTCATGAAAAGCCCAGTTCTGTAGCCAAAGCTCACATCCATTATGGTTAATCTGTCTTTACAAAACTAAACAATTTGCCATGAAATACATTGGCCACCAGGACTGGTCTAAAGGAAGGCCTAATTTTTACTAAGCCTTCTTGAAGAGTGGGATAAATGGAGGCTAGGAGGCTCAAGCAAAATTGCAATAGGTATTTTGTCCATGTTTCTAAGAAGTATTCCCCAATGGGGTGAACATTCTGCTATCCATGAAGGAAGCCAGACTGTTTCCAGCAGTCCAGTCTATTCTAGTTGCAATCATGCTGGTTGGGGGATTCTGGAAGTTGGAAGTCCACAAGTTTTAAAGTTGCCAAGGTTGGACATCCCTAATTTATGGGGAAACATTGCTTCTCAGTTTGCTTAGGGGAAAAAAGAGATGTTATGATTCGCACCCAATCATATGAAGAGTTTACCATTCATCCTCTGAGGAACAATGCCAACAGATCATGGTTAAAACCTGAGGTTGATTTTTTTGTTATTCTGAGGGAGAAAGGGTGAGGGGGAAAAACAGGAATAACCTGACTTCTTTTATCCTATGAATGTTTACATTATCAAAGCACCCATTTGTGATCGTAAGCAGAAATTCTATCATCCGACGTATGAAACAGCTTAGAGTTTAATTCTTGTGACTTATTATGTCTAAGGTCTTCAAGAGACTTCTATCAAAAAAAAAAGTGGTATTTTAAAATATACAAGTTTTAAATAGGCAATCCAATTTTGGGGTGGAAGGGGAGACTCCAGGCCCTGTGTCCAACCACACTATTGACTGCCAGTGTCTCAATTCTTTTCCCTGTAGTTTTGCTCGAAAGGAAGAATGCAACATATTAAGTCCTCATCTAGATTTAATGTGGTTTTTTCAGAAGAAAAAAGAAAAGAAAAAGAAAGAAAAGAAAGAAAGAAAAACAAGAATTGAAACAAATTCTTACTACCTCCCCATTATTTATTACATTAAATTATTAAATTTATTGAGTGCATATGCCACTGAATCATTGAAATTCCTACCGGCTTAAAAGCATAAATAAAACATACCCAGTAGAGGGAAAAAATAGAGTAAAATCTTCACAGTAAGACAGGAAAAGTAATGCATAACTCCCAGCACACATAACATTGCAACCCCGAATAAATAAAAAAACCAAATTATTAGGTGTAACACCAAAAAAAAAATAATCATTGTCGCTGATTTCCAAAAAAAGATTATAATCTCCTTATGTCCATCATCCTTCCCCAAAATATTCAGTGCAGCTCTCACTACTCAGGAGTTACTTCCAGCTGCCTTAAATCCTTAATATATGGAAGAGACCTTCTGGTCACCAAGTTCTATTTTTTGTTGCAACTGAAATCTATACTTGTATATTTTCGCATCAGGTTATGCTATTTCCATCCTGCAAAGGTAATTAGCTTTACGGTGATGCATTACTCTCCACCTTAGAGCTAGATTTTGGGAACAGAAGGAGCAAGAGGAAAAGGATCTCATTGGGAGCAAACTAGGTTTGTAACTATAATTTGGTTTAAAACAAAAACCTCGACGAGTCACTCTTTGCCACAGGAATGAAATAAAACTAACATTACAGGCTTATAAATATCCATATCCATGCTTCAAAAATAGCTAGCTTCCCTCAAAAGCCAGAACTTACTTTCCTGCACCTGCTTATAGTAACTTGAATTGGTATCGAGTATTGCTGGATTAAATTAATTCTGCAAAAGGGATGAAGGATGGGTTTTAAATAAAAACCTCCAAATATTACAAACTGATGGTGCCGCTCCCTTGGGATTAAAACTTTTGTTTTAAACAAAACAGGTTTTGTTTTGTTAGTGATCTTAAAGGACTTCCTAAAAATTCCTCTGTACTCCACTTGCCAAATCTACTTAGGGGATCTTAAGGACTGTCTTGTTAATATGTAAAAAGGTGTTTCCACATCTTTAATTGTAAATTCTCTCCAGCTCAAATAATGGTACAGACGGGGAAAACAGAGAGCAAGAGAAGGTTTGCAATATCTGTGGCAGCAGCTTCTCAAATGAGGGTGCATTCTTTGGTTGAGGGGAGCATGCCTGCAAGATTATTGTCATGTGCATATAGCCACAAATTCATCATTGTACACCTCCCTTATCTTGGGAGGGGGAGTGTCCACCAAACCAATAAATCCACCAAACCAATAAATCCTTTTCAGAGTCTCCTTTTGCTTGGATAGTCAGAATGCAATATACCATAACATGCAATATTATTGTGTTCTATATTGTGTATACAGTACAGGTTTAGTTAGTTTAGTTTAGTTTATTGTCATTGCACCTCGCACAACAAAATCAAACACCATCTTCAGTGCACTTCATGACCATGAAAATTAACACCAACACACATCCTTCACACTCCACACATTGAATTGAAAAACCCCAACACCACACCAACACTGCATTATACAGTAGAATTCAACAGAGCTACTGCCCTGGGATAGAAGCGGTTTTTCAGCCTATTTGTCCTTGTTTGTATTGTCCTGTACCGTCTGCCAGATGGTAATAGGTCAAAAAAATGGGTTCCCAGGATGAGATGGATCTTTGAGAATGTTTTGAACTTTCTTAAGGCAGCGGGAGCTCTAAAGCTCTTCCAAAGAGGAGAGAGGGCAACCCATGATCCTCTGGGCAATGACATTAACCCTCTGGAGTGCTTTCCTATCTGCCCCTGTGCAATTGGTAAACCATACAGAGGTGCAGTAAGTTAAGATACTCTCTATGGTGCAGCAGTAGAAGGTCACCAGCAGTTTTTCATTCAGTTGTTGTTTCCTGAAAAGTCTCAGGTAGTATAATCTCTGCTGGGCCCTTTTGACCAGTGCTGTAAAGTGAGCACTCCAGGTCAGGTCCTGTTTGATGGTAACACCCAGAAACTTAAAACTAGCCACTTGCTCCACTTGGTCTCCATTGATAAGCAAGGGCTCATTGTCTGATCTGTTCCTTCTACAGTCCACTATAAGTTCCTTGGTCTTATTGGTGTTGAGGATCAAGTTATTGTCTCCACACCACGAAAGCAACCGGTCTACCTCATCTCGGTAGGCAGACTCATCCCCAAGGGTGGGATTCTGTCAGTTCGCACCTATTCTCTAGAACCAGTTGTTAACATTCTAAGCAGTTCGGAGAACCGGTTGTTAGAAGAAATTACTGGCCTAATCCTGTAAGGAAAGCAAGAAGGAAACATTCTGGTATTGCTTACAGAAACTGCCTCTCCGTTAACCCTTATTACATTCTTGGCAGGATTAGACTTCTTGTCTCAGGAACATCCCTGGAGTTTTTTTTTCCCTCCTTTGCTGTTACTTTGCTTGTGTGCAGTGACCATTTAAAGTTACAATGGCACTGAAAAAAGTGACTTACGACCATTTTTCACACTTACGACTGTTGCAGCATCCCCACAGTCATGAGAGGCCAGGCGAGGAGATGCATGCCTCGATGTGAGTGATATTGAGTTGACCACACCCAGCCAGTCACATGACCACCAAGCCATGTCCACCATCTAAGCCACGCCCACAGAACCGGTTGTTAAAAAATTTGAATCCCACCCCTGCTCATCCCCCACACCCCAGGAGATGAGTCCCACCACCCATCTGCAAATTTAGCAATAGCATTACTAGCATGAGTGGGAATGCAGTCATGTGTCAGGGCTCCAAGAAATCCACCCTCATTCAAGTTCAAAGTCTCTAGCCACATCTCAGAGAAAAGAAACTTGATTTATTAGAAGTTGCCATGTTGGCGTATGGCTGGGTGCAGCCGATACTAAATCACATCATACATTTCTCCCTTAACCCTGGCCTTCCCCCCAATGGGACACATCCACCTCCAAGAGTCATCCATCATGCTCTCCAATAACCTTCTTACGCTCCGACAACTTTGAGCTGCTGAGGTGATTAGGCATTTCAAGAAGGCCTTGTTTTCCCCACTCCCTTTTTCTGGCAGCTAAAAAGACCAAAGGAGAATCTTTTTAGTTGACATCATGAACCACTCTGGTGTACCAGTGTTAAGAATAAGGGCTGAAGAGGTATGATTAGCTAATCTGACCTACTGTGAGCGGCCAGACAGGAAATCTATAATCCAAAAGGTAGTCCTCAACTTATAACCCTTCATTTAGTGACTGTTCAAACTTATAACAGTGCTGGGAAAAAAGTAACTTGACTGTTTTTTACCCTTATGACTGTAGCACCACCTCCATAGCCACGTGATCAACATTCAGATACTCGGCAAATGACTCGTATTTATGACGGTTGCAGTGTCCCGGGGGTTGTGTGACCCCCTTTTGCGACCCTCTGACAAGCAAAGTCAATGGGGAAGCCAGATTCACTTTACGACCATGTTACTAACTTGCCAACTGCAGTTCACTTAACAACCAAGAAAGCTTGTGAAACGGGGCAAAAACCCATTCATCAATTGCCTTGCTTAGCAACAACAATGTTGGGCTCGCTTGTGGTAAGCCGAGGACTCCCTGCATATGGTAGAATATCATAAAGGTCGTCCTCGACTTACAACAGTTTGTTTAGTGACCATTCAAAGTTACAACGGCACTGAAAATGAGGGACTTGGGGTCATTTTTCACAATTATGTCCATTGCAGCATCCCTGTGGTCACGTGATTTACATTCGGATGACTCACATGTCGGTCGCTGTGTCCCCGTTTGTGACCGCCTGACGGGCTAAGACAACGGAGAAACCCGATTCACTTCACAACCATTGTTACTAATTGAACAGCTGCAGTGATTTGCTGAATGAATATGGCGAGGAAACGTGTCGCAACACAGGGCAAAAATTCACTTAACAAATTTCTCACCTGGCAAACATGAATTTTGGGCTCAATTGTGGTCGTAAGTTGAGGACTACCCAAAGTCTTCTTTGTCGGTCATAATATATTGTTATTATTTGCATCGGGAGAGTTGGGGGCCAATGGCAGAGGCGTCGTGAAGCTTTTGAAAAGCGAGCTGCCAGTTCAATGAATCCGGCGGCGCTACTGGCACTAATGCCACGCATAACAATGAACCGATCAAAGTGACATCGGAAAGGAACGGCCGATGCTTTCAACGTTGAAAGGTTACCCTCCCTAAATTCCAGATGGCATAGAATTGACAGGAATGCTAAAAAGTATTTTACAAGACGGCTTCACGGTCAAAGAAATCCGTTGTGGTGTTTTTCAGACTTTTATTTTTCAACAATGAGATTCCTTTTTTAAAGAAAGAATAGATGCAATTTAACATGAGAGAGCTATTGTTAGGCGCCAACAACCAGATGCATGTGTGAAGAGTTCAATTAACAGATAACAGATAATCAGAGTTGGAAGGGACCTTGTAGGTCATCTAGTCCAACCTCCCCACCCAAGCAGGAGACCCCACACCATTTCTGA